ATTGACATTTTTGTCAGTAACCCCATCACTGTTCCCCTCTCTGTGTAGAGACGTTTTCCCAGTTGTGTCTAGTCTAAGGTTGCATGCTTTTTTCCCCATTTTTCCTCTTTTTCTTTTACGTTAGTTTGTTATTTGTTGGATTGTTAGGCTGTTTTTTCATTGTTGTGTCACATAACACTATGACATTTGTTTGGGACTCTGTTGGAAACTGGATGATGCAAGGATTTCCATGCTGAAGTCCAACAATGTATTTTATGATGATTTATTCAACAAACAACTGAACAACTAAAGCAAAATGAGATGGATTTTTATGTTTTTTAAATATGTGATTGCAGTGACAGTCAACAGAAAATATCTCCCACTCTCATTCACCCTCTTTGCCTAAAAGCTGCGACGCCAGTAAATAAACAGGTAAAATAATGTGAAACCAAACCTACACCTGTGCCAATCACTACTGGAGGTGAAAGTGACCAAAAGATAGTGTGCAGCCTAAACAAATAATACACAACAAGGATTAAATGCACATTCTGGCTCCTAAACTAATACATTTCTATATATCATTAAGTTAAATTAGGAGTTGATTTGGCAGACTTTCTTTTGTCCAAAGCCACTTAAAATAAATTAATAAATGCCTCATTGCTTCTGTTGCAACGAGGGTTTTTGACATTTTGGTATTGAGTGATTTAAACAAAAAAAAAAAAAAAAAAAAATCTAATCCTGTGCTCTGGTTGCATCAACATGTTGTGACACATTCTAAAAAATGAATTGATTGTTTCAGATACTCATCAATAGCATCAGGCAAAACATTTCAGAAACTGTGAAAATAATCATATTTGCCAAACTCTCCTCAAGTGATAATCTGATCTTTTATTTTTCTGTAGAAATGGCGGATGCTTGAGACCTCTAACACTCATTCATAGTCAAACTATCTGTGAGTTTAGAGTGGATGATCTTTGATTGGGTCAAAGTGCTAACAACCCACTGATATTTACAACCTGTGAAAAAGAGTTGCAAGCAGACTAGTGATGGGATTTCTCGTTCACTTTGAAGAGCTGGTTCAAAGATGCGGCTCGTTCGTTCTTTTTTTTTTTTGCTGCGTGTGTGTGGTGGTGGGGGGGGGTGTGTGAGTGGGTTCAACGATGAATCACATTGGTGATTTATTACATCATGTGATCTGGATATTGTAACATGGACCCAGGATAGACTCCGTAGATATAAAGTTTGGTGTAGCCATAGCAACACCTTTTATAATCAACAAGCCTATCAATACAAGCAACTGCTAGCAGATAGTGGGTTAGCTTCCTACTGTTCATTTCTAACCGAGGGGGGTCATCAACACGATATGAATAAAGTATCATGGTCGTGCACACACAAACATTCACAAAACAGTCCAGAACATGTCCCGTTCGTACCAGAATAACCAACAACCTCCCCCTATCCCAAAACACGGCCAAAAGGGCTCTCAATAACAAGTTTACAGTCTAAATTCAGACTTGTTCCAGCATGTCCGAACTGCATGCTGGGTAACAAGCAAACTAGCTGGCTGGCGTCACGCCCAGAGTAAATTAAAGCAACAAACAAAGAAATTAGGAACTGGCTCGTTCACTCTAAAGAGCCGGTTCAAAGACTCGGCTCGTTCGCGAACGCCACATGACTAAAGCAGACACTTTAAGGGGCCACAAGCCGAAAAGGGTGGGACACACTGTTTGTACGAATAAGCAACATTATGGATCACGGAGACACTTCAAAAACAAATTTCACACAGGACTTTGATGTTAGCCTTTATGTGGTGGCTACCCCACATAATTTTTATAATTACCCTATGCAACCACCACTAGTATAATAAGGTGTGGTCTACCCATAAGGTGCTCCTAATGTGCCAAAGGTTGATTCATGAATCACATTATTAATCTTTTTTTCTCATGCTCCGCAGCACAAAATGTCCCTGAGTGAACAAGTTTTTTATAGGCTGTAAATAGAACCTGGGAAGTCATGCAGTGGCAGGTTGGGCTGGCAGTGATGTCCAATACAGATCATCACCGCATCAAAAATGTGCTTCTCCTTTTTGCCGTCCTTGTTCTCGGTTTCAACGTCCCACTGGCCTGATTGAGAAAAATCTGATCTCTGCTTCACCTGCAAGACTTTGGTCTGAACATCAGCAAGGCAGACACAGATAAAAAGGTGCATTAAGTGATTATACATTCAACTTACATCATCTTAAATTATGCAACATTTTACATTCAAGATAAATTTGAGTTATATAATTCTCTGCAAGTCAGTGAAGCATCCTTACATTAAAGTGTATGTGCTTGGTGAGCTGGAAGTGGTCAGCATACATTCGCAAGTAGTCCATGATGAGGGAGTTATGCATGTAGTTTGGGAAGTGCCCAGGGATGGGAAAGTCACTGAAACACAACATCTCCTTGGAGGTGTTGATGATGACAGAGTGGTAAATGCTCGCCCTGTCTGGCTCTGGATTCTCCTGCAGTAACAGCCACGAAGAGAAAATATATTTATCCTCACTTTCTATATATATACTGTACGATTAAAGGAATCTGTGCGCAGTGTGACCCACCTTAAACCTCCACAGACCACCAATGTCATCACTGCTCTCAAAGCAGACAGGCTCCAGGCCCTCATCCAGGCAGCACTTAATACTAGCTAGACCTGAAGCACCTGCTCCGACCACCGCCACACGAAGAGTCATACTTCAGCTCTGAGGAGGATGGACAAGATTAGTCTGAAAATTTTTTTGTCTGTAATAAGAAGACAAATACATGGAACTACAAGCAACATAAAAAACAGTTGGTCAGCACCAAGACTGTTTCCTGTTATGGACTGCAGATTTGTTGCCTTCTTTTAGAGTTGACTTCTTACATGTCTACGAATATCTTAGTCCTGTGGTTGAGAAAATGTAGTGCCAAAGGAAAGGGCCTATCTGACGACAAGGTGGAAAGGTGCAGCTGCAATGCCAGGCAGATGCTTTGTTGAACACTGGCTTATAGTTGCATACTGTAGCAAGCTGAAGTGTGGTGGAAATGTTCTCCCAAGCCCAGTTTTTCTTCTTGTTGTCCTTAAAAGGCACTGGCGCTGTGACTCCCAGTATTCAGACACCAACATTATTAGTTCCTCTATCTTGTCCTTATTGTGCTTCCCTGATGCCCATTAACTGATTGGTCAGGCAGGCCTATGGGGCAGACAGCAACCACCAGAAGTTTTAGACAGTGAACTCAGTGCTTAGCAAAATCTGCAGGCACACACATGGGGGGCAACCACTTCATACCCCTACTGCCGTTTTGGAAACCTCTTCCTCTCTGCCGCCTTCTCCTCATTAAAATGACTGGAAGTGCAGAGTTATCACGCGGTAGCATGAACGCCCCTTACTATGTGTTTTGCTGCTGCCCCCCATCCACACTGTTGAGCGTCTGTGTTAGCATTCCTGCCTTCTTCTCCAAACTGGGGGCGCTACGACCACCATGCACTAAAGGTAATACACTGACTATGGATGAGCAACCCAAAAAACCCCATCTCAAAAAAATATTAACTCTCCCTTTAATGTCGCATTAAATATCATAAGACATCAACAAAGTGAAGCACAGTGCAGCTAAATCTGGTGCAACTCTTCTCCACTACATGTTTTTTTTACATATAAATGCAATAAATTAAACTTATACATATCAAATGAGAGGAGGGACATCAAGTAGAAATGATATTTCTGAATGTAAAACGTAGTTAAGATCAAAGTCCTGTCATATTGCACAGATAATAGATGAAGATCGTTTGGGTATTGTAAGAAACAACTTAAAAGATCGCAGGCTACCTGAAATCAAATTAATATGCATCATTAATTTAAATCATAAAAAGAAAGCACAGTAAAACCCAGCTGAGTCACACAATACATCAAATCCATTTCAGAATATACAATAAACTGTGTGCCATTTTGAGCATGCAAAAAACAGTTTCACCCAAACACTAATGAGAAACAAAGCTGATAGTTTGCATTTAAAACCACATCCAGTTTCCCAGTCTCTCCAGGCAATCCTGCAAATCACTCACCTGTTGTGATGCAAAATCAGCAAGCTCACTGTTGCACAGGTTAAATGCAGCCGAAAGAATAATGAGCAGCAACTGTTTAGTTTAACCCGTAATCTGACCTTCAGCTCACAGTCAGCACATGCATGAAGAAACTTTAGTACACAACAGCAGGTCTTGGTCCGTGTTATGAACGGAGGAGTGACCAAGTCAAAGTACACACAATTACACCTTCCTGCTTGTGTGCACTGTGCAGGGTTTCCTGTGTTAAACCTCACCAATGAAATAATTCATGGTCCAAACCTTCATGGGAGTTTGGACAGTTGTCATGTGATGCAGTTTGAATAGTATGAGAGGAGACAATGACGCTCTTGTTCTGTAACTGATAACCCGGAATGTCTTTCCAAAGCCTATTTCGGGGGGGCGCTGACTTTATGTAAGCATCATTAAAATGCTTGGCCTACTGACAGCTGCACTGGTGAACCGGATAATACTGGTTCATATCATAAACAGTAAACCGCCTCATAAATCATTAAAATGACAGAAATGCCATGTTTTTAACCCTGCAAGGTCTCACAAGGTGCGCACAACTGCCATTCTCAGTGCATGCAAAAAAACATAAAAAAAATAACCACAAAAAAATGTTCATTACCAGAAATTGAATTATTGATTTTTGTTTTGTTATTTTATCAGTCACTTAGTAGAAAATACTTCTGATGCACAAACACATTAAAAATTAAAAACAAAAACAATTTTTTTAAAAATTATTTGTGTTTTCCAGATTGATTAATCTAATATCTAATATAGGTTGATTAATATATCTAATAATCTAATATACAATGCTCAGCATACTGTAGCCTCTAACTCAAGATATTCCTGGTCTAATAATGCCTTCATGATTATTCTGCACGCCACACTGGTGAAGCAAGGTGGATATTGGTGGTCATAAAAGAGAGCCATACACAGACAACTTTTGAACTTCACTTTATTTATTATACAAATCTCAGAACACTGATCTCCTCTGAGCTGTGTCTTTATCAAAAACTTTGATAGTTAAACAATTGTAAGTGCTTTTAGCCTGCAAGCGTATTGTGCAGTGCTTTGTGTTATATGTCAGCCTGAGTGTAACTGTATGTTTAACTTTACCTGTGGCAAAATTAAGATTATTATTAATCCCTGGTATTATTTTTTATTCACTTAAAAATTCAAAGTATTCAAAACAAAATTCATCAAAGGAAAGCATTCATCACATAGAAAATTTGGGCCAGATTTACACCTGTGTTACTGTATCAATCTGTGTTATTCTTTTTTTTTTTTTTTTTTGTTAACAAAGCTTCAACTGCTTTAGAAAAGAAAATAGTTGTAATAAAATACATTAATTTGTAAACAATCTCTATTGGTGGGGCTCCTTTTTATTTATACAACCCTGGACTGTGCATTTAGATACTTGAGTCTTCTTCCAGGAATGTAATGAAGTGTTTACATTAGTTTTTTAGTAAAAAGAAAGAAAAAAAATATGTAAAAAACATAGTGTATTCTTCGGTCTGTAGAAAGCATCTGGGCGACGCAAGTTACATTATATAATATAAAAACACACCAAAAAAGAAATTAAAATGCAGCATCATTGCCTAAAAGTCAAGTTTATCTTCATGTTCTGGTCATGCAAATGAAGCAAAATTGTTACATACTGCAATTAAAGCTTACAATGAGAATTAGACAGACAGTGGAATATGTTGAATATATGTTTGGCACAGTATAGCATCAGTCGGTCTTTCAAGCGACCATGAAGTGGCATCATTGACTTGCATATTTTAGTAAATGCATTTCGGTGCTAGTGTAGTTTAGTGGAGAAACTGCAAACATGTATGATGAATGTGTTAAAAGAACACATGACAATGAGAGGAACGAGTATGAATTTCACATTAATGTGCAGGCAGATATGCTTTTATCTTATCCAACAGTATAGTGGGATCCTGCAGGAAATCTGGAAGGTTGCTCCTGTTAACGTATGCAGCCAAGCCCACAGCAGAAGCAGACAGGATCAGAGGCCACATAAATGATCTCATGGGTTCGGGATCACAGCAAGGTCTAGTCTGCATGGAATGAGCCACTCTCTCCCACTGTGTGAGGATGGCCTGGCGGGCTCCAGCCCATTTTCCTGGCCCTTTGAGACGATACTGGTACGGAGTACTGGGACCGAACAACACAGTCAGTCCCAGCCTGGGATCAGTCAGCAGCAGCTTCAAGAAGTTGGGGCGAACTCCCACCAGCTCTGCTATCTCATCCATGTATCTGAGATAATCCACTTGGAGGGTGTGTCTCTGAGTGGGGAAATACCTGAAAAAGAGACCCGAGCTGAACATGTTGTGCATAACAAGATTTGATGCATTTCAGATCCTAAATATGTATGTAATCACAAAGCAGAGTAAAACCACTGCTGTACCTTCTGGCCATTGTCTCCTTCTTACACTCGACATCTTTTAGCATGGACGCCATTGAGGGAAGCTTGATGCAGCCTGTTTAAAAATTAAAGACTTCAGTAAAAAGACTGTGTGATGATAAAAGGTTGCATTTTTTACAGAGCCTGTATTACCTTTAAAGACACGTGTGGCCCATCTGGCCTGCATCTCAGAGATGGGCATAATGGCTCCCAGTGGCTGCACGAGACCAATGATAGCCAGAGTGGGGCGGTCCATCTCAGGAGGAAACACATACTTGTACAGAGATGCTTTGTTCTGAGACACTGAGACCACATGTGAGGCCAGGAATGGAAAGGAAAACTTGTAACCTGTGGCAAACACCTGCAAGACAGGGGACTCATCTTAGTCACACACCATAGGCCAACTACACTGCTGTTTATGAACGTGTACAGAGGCAGAAGAACAGACTATAGTGTAAATGCACAAGTGTGTTGGCTATACAGAAATAACCTACCACCAGGTCGACATCTTCCACGACACTTCCATCTTCAAACTCCACACTGGACCCCTGAAACCTGCGGATGTTGGGTTTCACCTGAACTGTTCCAGACAGGATGCGGTTGGGAAGCTCATCATTAAATGTGGGATGTTGGCTGAACAACCTGAGATATATGTTCACATTGATTAGTAATGTTACTAAAAACTGATAAATACTGCACTCATTAAAATAAGACCAAGAGACTAACGCAGTGGTGCTCAACCTTTTTCCATATTTCACACTATATTCAATGCACAGCAACAACAGTACAGAACCAACTGATAAACTGTACAATACATACAATAGTACAAATAGTGAACACAATAACTGCAGGAAGTTTGTGTAAAAAAGCCATTTTGTATTGACTGTAAGCAGATTATTTACTGTCAATATGTAGAGATGAGTTTTCCTGACATTTTACAGAACTTTTTATACAATTCTTCATCTGCATCATGCATTGGTTTTTTATTTTTTAACAATTATACATTGCTACTTGTTTTTAATTGTCTTGTAAGGTGTCCTTGAGTGCATTATTATTAATATTCTATCTGACAAATTGCCCATTGTTCTATTAGCTCTTTGGTTGTTTTAACTGTGCACTTTTCCCATGCAGGACGAGGCTGTGTAGCAGAGAGGGAGGACTCTGTGAATACAGCTGANTTGTTCTATTAGCTCTTTGGTTGTTTTAACTGTGCACTTTTCCCATGCAGGACGAGGCTGTGTAGCAGAGAGGGAGGACTCTGTGAATACAGCTGTTGTGCGAGTCTTCACTCTGCCCTCTTCCTGACAGATTTTTATCTATTGAATAAAAATCTAACCTAAATAAGGCCTACTGTATATATTTTTCAAAAACGTTTTTTACACCCCTTACAACCAAGAACGCCTTGCCATCCCCCATGAAGCTTTGGAGAGCCCTCATGGGGGTCTGGACACCCAGGTTGAGAACCAGTGGTCTAAAGCACCAGTAATGGCATGATGATATTAAATAGGTTCTAATATTACTAATGTTTTAAAAAGTGTACAGAAGTGGATTATGCAATTATTTCTGCAGTAGAACACAGGTATAAATTATCTATGACATGTATGTTGCCGTCAGACCAATAAGTGTGCAGGACAAAAAGAGAATGGTGAAACGTGCTTGGAAGATGATGTGAAGTCTGTGTGGGTTTGGATGGTAAGAAGTTTTGTGCTGTGTTACAGTGTGTAATAACTTGTATCATGTGAGAATAGGTTGTGGTCATGGACCAGACAAGATACAATTAAGAAGGACTTGACCCGTTGTTTTATACTATAAATGACACCTATGAGGGGGCAGCATAGTTGTTCACATCCATTGTCTAGGCAGGAGTGGATTGTCAGACAATGGGCCCCTGGGCACAGATATGCACCCCCCATCCCCAAAACAGGAGCAAGACACTCAGATTTATCGTTGTTTCACCTCATTTTGTGTTGTCGCTTTGCATCACTTTGTGGTTTTGTATCTTGTTGTAGTTGTTATGTCTATTTGAGGTAAATTGGTATCTACTTTGGTCATTTTGCATCTCTTTGTAGTTATTTTGTGTCTCTTCGCAGTTCCTTTGCATCTCTTTGGGGTCATTTTCCTGGTCAGTACCAGTATTTGAGTGACATTTTGCAGATGATTGCCCAGGGCCCCCCCTCACACTTTGAGATTGTGGGCCTGTGGCTGGTAGGCCCGTTCAGTAATCCTTGAATATCTACAACAAACTTCACAGCTATTCTGGCTAACAGTGGTATCCTCATCTGGACTAATGTGTTGTGTGAACAAAATCAGAGAGTCTGCCATGTGCAGGGTCAAGCTGTGCTATAGCTTGTTTAGATAGATAAAAAAAAAAGAGATGCAAATACAGTACCTGTGCTTTGGCTTCAGATTGTACAGAGCGTGATCAAATCTTTGGTTGAGCACTCTCTCTGCTAAACCACAGAAAACACCAAAGGGAAGGATTTTCCGCACAAAATCTAACACCCTGTTAAAAAGCAGATCCAAAGGCAGCCCGTTGTCACCAACTCGATTCAGAATCCAGGCTCCCCTTCGCGTGCTCAGGTAAAGCTATGAAGAGAAGACATGACAGTCAGTTATCACGCTGGTACATGAAAAATACAGTTTGCAAAGTTTTACTGTAATGTAGAAATAGTATATTTATAAGGTGGAATCAAACTTATAGGTTGTATCTGTAAAATGCATTTAACTGGGACATTACTTCACTACAGTCTGTGGCTCTGTTACTTGTGACATAACCCAAAATATCTTTTATATCTTGCAGAACATCATCAGCAGAATTTTACTGCATTTACTGTCATTGTATGTGTGTGCAGCACATTATATTCACTGTTACTGAATATTATGTGCATCACCTCATAGGAATAGTATGAGAGAAGAATGGATATTCCTATTTAAATCAATGTAGAAGGATGATCAGAGTGGCGGCTATTTTTATGTGTACTGTTGCCATTGCTACCGCTGTAGCGGGCTAACTTCCGTATACATTTCTGTGTAAACACACCGTCTTGCTGTGCGTTTAAATACCCACACTATTTAGTATGCCAGAAAAAGATTAAGTATGTCCCAATAAATTGTATGTCAAATGCTGTAACCAAAAAATACCAGGATGTTCTACTGCATCTGGTCATATTTTGCAGGATCCAAGCCAGCATGCTTTTCTGGTTATTCTGACCCACAATCCTCTGCGCGGCGCAAGATACATCACATTGAAGCCACAATGACAGATGACAGCGCATTCAAGTAACTGATGACCAGTGGAACAGTAATAACATGAATATTAACTGTTTAAATGAACAGAGTAATCATAAAGAAAACTGACAACAACAAATGACAAACAAATGAACAGAAATATAAATGTATTGTTACTGTGGTGAATAAGTTAGAATCTACAATGTCTGCAGTTATTACTTTAAAGTTTCAACTGCACACAAAATAACAACAGCAGAGCTCTCTGGGTTGATCTCCCTCTGGTGAGCTCAGTGAATGGAGTTTTGTTCTATCTCCAAAGTAACGGATGAATGAACAAAAGGGTCAGAGTTCAGGGCGCAGTAAGGAAGTAGTATGTCCTGATTGTGCATATACTGCATGCAACAGTATGTACTTTGTAAAGGCAGCTTTACATACCTACTGTAAGTAAAAAGAAAAAGATTTGAAATGCACCCTAGAACTGACTGGGGTAAGGTTCTGGTGTGACGACTAAACAAGCAATGAAGCAGAACTTGTTATTTCCCTGTTTCTTTTGTTGCCATTAGTGGCATGTTAGTTAAAACATGATGTACTGCAGGTGTCTCTAAAGAATCAGTAGACAGCTGAGAGCAAGGGGGATTGAACAGCGTGCAGATCAGCACAATTTCACATCTAACTTTTTTTGACCTAGTCAGAGTTGGTGATTGCTGGATCAAATATTAGTTTGTCTATTTTGCATCATACTGATTTGTATTTCAAGAGTTAAATTGTGTTTGCAAACAGTGCTCTGTTGTCGTGAACACATCTAGTACATTTACTTCTGCACTCAAACAACATACTCCAGACCCAGCAGTGTCTTCTTAGTTTCACTTTCACCTGATGTTGGCAGTAGGACGACGGTAAACTCACGTAACAGCCCTCCCATTTACTGATGGGGGCTGATGTGGACCCTCAGATCTACTATGAACGGCACTGCATGCACATGTGTGACCGTAGCTGTCCGCGGATGTTTACTGCGAAAGAATGTCCGAGCCTGATTAGTTTAATCCGCCACATAATAGCTGCTTTTTCCTCTTCATGAAAGAAGAAAAAACACGAGACAGAGAACTTGGAGCTGCAACCCAAACGAAGGGAGAGGGAGGGAGATGTCTCGGCGTCCAGACCTCTGACACAGAGACAGAGTTTACTGGCTGAATCTGTTCAAAGAGGCTCATAAAAGGAATATCAAAGTATATTCTAGCCTAGTGAAAATAATATTTAACTCAACCCAGATCTTCAGCACTGGTTAATGTTACATTTTCAAACTGTAACTGGTCAACATTAGCTGTGACTTAAGGAGATTGATCATTCGTCTCATAAATCATGACACTTTTAATAATATAAAGTATTGTATTGGTATTGACGATTCTGGCCTGTATTACTTGGTATCGGATCAAAACCAAATCACCAGCCCAAGCGTGCAGTTGTGCTTTATCTGTTTAGTAAGGAAAACAGGTGTAAGAATAGGTCAAAGTGGAGTTTTAAAACTAGCGATTGTGACACACTGCACAGCCCCACAGACGTGTGTTTCACAACAACCAACTCCCTTTTTCTTCTGCACTCGTCAAATGACCACAGGAATCAGTTCAACATCCTTCCTACTCTCATTCTATTTTTATGGTTCATCTTCAATTTAACTTTCAGAGTATTTGGTTTTTTGGCTGAACTGTGGATTTATTAGACATGTGTTGTGTTACTGTCTGACTGCTCATGTTATTTGAGCTTCTGGATTCTACTGTAAAACTATATTAACCGTTGACCATTCTTTGCTCCTTCAGAGGTTAAGTGAAGTTGGTTTTAATTCTGAGTCTTGCAAATGGTTCCAGGACTTCCTGTCACAGAGGCAGCAATGTGTTGTCTGAGGTAATAATCATTCTAATTACCTGACATTGTCAAAAGGAGTCCCTCAAGGTTCAATACTGGGTCCCGTTTTATTTACAATATATATCAATAATATTGCATCCACCATCACAAACTGTAACGCCCATCTTTACGCTGATGATACAGTTCTGTACTGCTCGGCTAACACAGCACTTTCAGCTATTCAAACCTTTCAGCAAGCTTTTGATCAATTACAACATACTCTGTTTCACTTGAAACTGGTTCTCAATCCAAATAATACCAAATACATGTTATTTTCTAGAGTTGCAGATATTGATGACCATAGCATAAATATCACCACTTTGACAGGACACAGTATGGAAAGAGTCTCTGAATACAAGTATCTTGGTATCTGGTTAGTTCACAAACTCAAATTCAAATCCCACATTGATTCTGTGACAAACAAACTAAGACAAAAACTTGGTTTCCTGTACAGGAACAAAACACATTTTCTGATGTTTTACAGAAAACGGATCATTAACGCCATTTTTTTTTCAATCTGTTTTAGATTATGGTGATGTTGTTTATAAGAATGCCTCTGCCTCCACACTTGCTCCTCTAAATTCCGTTTATCACTCTGCCCTCAGATTCATTACTGGTGACAGTTACTCCACTCATCATTGTATTTTATATGAAAAGGTTGGCTGGGCTCCTCTAACTGTGAAACGTGACAGGCACTGGTTCATATTCATTTATAGAGCTTTAATTGGCAAGATGCCATCATATATTACCTCCTTACTGAATACGTCTCACAATCACTACTCAACACGCTCTAGCAACTGGCTCATGCTCCGAGTACCATGGACATTTCATTTGGTAAAACTGCCTTTGGTTTCTCTGCTGCATTCACATGGAACACTTTACAACAAACGTTAAAACTACAGACACTCGTTCCAGTGGGTCAGTTTAAAACCATGGTAGATAAATACTCTGTCTTTGAATGTAACTGTTTTTAAATTGTGTTGTTACTGTCTTTTTATTGTTCTATTTATCTGCATATTATTAGTCTTTTTGTAGCCTGAGTGTCAGACTGAAGCTCTCAGAACCTTCAGTCTGACATCGCCTCCACTGAAGGCGATTTACAAGGGGGAGGGAATTTGATTTTTCCCTAACCAATCAGTAGAGATCAACGACTCACCCAGAACCTGACGTCATTAGTATCCATGCCTCGGGGGTGCCGAAAACAAGCGAGCATTGCCCGTTTAAAATGTCTCGCATGTCTCGCGTGCACGCCCAGCTGCATCGACGTTAAATCCAGTTTAGCAGCTTCCTTAATTTGATCCTCCATTAACGCAAGTAGTAGCGAAATACCTCGATAGCATCGTTAATGTGGTCTGTAGGATCTGTAGCGGTCGCCATTGTTGCTATCCTCACCAGTTACCCACCGGCGTACAGCTTGACATCAGCGTGGCGCTGATTGGGTAATCACTAGACCCGCCCCCACCCCCGGCGTTCATTGGTCCGTCCATCGTTTGGACGAGATAAATCGCAAATTCATTGCAGTATGCCAGACCAGAGATGCAAGCCTACTCAGTTGAGTGGGCGGGGTCTATGGTCTGGAACCAGGCTAGTCTTTTTGTACTCTCGAAATCATTGAAAATGAAGGCAAGCCCTAAATGATTCTTCAAGAATAAATAAAGGTTGAATGAATTAAGGATGCCATTGTCCCTTGATCTGAGCGTTGAAGATGGTGAATTAAAATGTTTTCTTGACTGACATGAATGACAGAATACAAGAAAATAAGAAAGTGATTATTCACCAGTTTCACCATATGTAACTATGTCATCCTGACCTGCTTGGTGACTCTGCTCAGCTCCACTGCTATGTCTCCTCCAGAGTTTCCTATCCCAATCACTACAACCTTTTTATCCCTCCACTCCTCAGGAGTCTTGTAGTCTCTGCTGTGGAAGTACTTTCCCGTGAAGGTGTCAATGCCTGGGAGAAACAAAGACAAAGACTTCTGTCTCCAGTGTCTGTATCTGACACTGTTATAAAAATATAATTCAGGTCAGTGTTGATGACATTTCACTGACAACATTATTCTCTCTGGGTGGAGCTGCTTTCTGTTGATATCATGTTACATGACCACACTGTACAGAGTTGCCGTTACAGGCTAGATCAAACTGTGTCAAAGGTTAACTTTGACATCATTTCCTCTTTGTGTTGCTAGAGCACAAGCAGCACTACTTGTGTTTGAGCAAACTGAAGGATATTTATAGGCTGTAAATAGTACCTGGGAAGTCATGCAGTGGCAGGTTGGGCTGGCAGTGATGTCCAACACAGATCATCACCGCATCGAAAATGTGTCTCTCCTTTTTGCCGTCCTTGTTCTCGATCTCAACGTCCCACTGGCCTGAATGAGAAAAATCTGATCTCTGCTTCACCTGCAAGACTTTGGTCTGAACAGAGAGACACAAACAGTTAACAGTTTACTGATAACAGAAAAGCAAACCGACTCTGAGGTGAGCAGTAACCATTTGTTGTGCTGCACTAAACACCATTTTACATTTACAACTCAGCTGAGAATATTGCATCCTTTCAGGAAGTCAGTGAAGCATCCTTACATTGAAGCGTATGTGCTTGGTGAGCTGGAAGTGGTCAGCATACATCCGGAAGTAGTCCATGATGAGGGAGTTATGCATGTAGTTTGGGAAGTGACCAGGGATGGGAAAGTCACTGAAACACATCATCTCCTTGGAGGTGTTGATGATGACAGAGTGGTAAATGCTCGCTCTGTCTGGCTCTGGATTCTCCTGCAATATAACACAAGGCCGTGATCACCTGTTTAACATTGGGGTGGACCATTTTCAATCTGCACCTTATGTGACCCAATCATTGAGGGGATATGGGGGGACTTTCCCACAAGAGGAATTTTTATAAACTGAAGAGCGAAACTGAGCTTTTAAACCAGTTTGAGACAAAAATCTTAGATCATGGGTTCTCAAAGTTTTGATGGCTGAGTGCCAGCATATGATTGAGGGCTGCACAGCGAGAGCGCACACACTATCACCTTTTTATAACTTGATTGGGACATATCATACTATGACCTTTTTTCATTACCTTATATAACTGAATGAAGGGGTGGGGGCTAGAATAAATAATGAAAATTTGTTAGGGGGTGTCACTACAAACATGGGGGTCTCTGGTTGAAAATGACATGGTTTGGTTGCTATAAAGTTGACAATCTTGTTAGAAATACCTGGTTTGGTTACTACAAACATGGCAAACTCTGATTAAAAACACATTTCAGTGTGCCATGTGTGTGCCCTGCAGATATTGTGAAGGGGGTGGGAGTATCACATGGCATGCTGAAATAAGTTTTAATGATTAAAATACTTTTGGTTATCATGTAAACACATATAACTTGTATTGTCAGTGATATAAGTAACTTGTTGCACTTGATCCGTTTGAAGGGTCAACCATAGACGTTTGACCTTAGCGCAGGGTCATCTGTACCCTTTGACTTCCCTGAGGACAGGCTGGGCAACCAGACCAGGTATTTTTTAACAAGAGTTCACTGTGTTTTTAGAGACCAAACCGGGTATTTTAAGCGAGAGTTTGGGACATGTCACACTGTGCCTGTAGCAACCAAACTGAGTATTTTNAAGAGTTCACTGTGTTTTTAGAGACCAAACCGGGTATTTTAAGCGAGAGTTTGGGACATGTCACACTGTGCCTGTAGCAACCAAACTGAGTATTTATTTATTTTTTTTCCAAGATATTTTTTGGGGCATTTTTTGCCTTTAATGGACAGGACAGTTAAGTGTGAAAGGGGGAGAGAGAGAGGGAGAGAAATGCAGCAAAGGGCCAAAGGCCGGACTCAAACCTGGGCTGCTGCGGCAACAGCCTTGTACATGGGGCGCCTGCTTTACCACTAAGCCACAGACGCCCCGAAACTGAGTATTTTTTAACAAGCGTTAGTTTGTGTTTGTCGTGAGGGAAATGGGTACTTTTTGACCAAAGTTGAGGACATGTCCAGCTGTTTTAGTAGTGGCAAAAGCAAGTCTTTTTAATGAGAGCGTGCCATGTTTGTATCAGCCAAACTGGGTATTATCAACAAGAGTTCGGGACATGTCCAGCTGTGTTTGTAGTGAACAGCTGTTTTTTTATTTGTTTGTTTGTTTTTATCAGAGTTTGCCCTGTTTGTAATGACAAGCAACCAAAGCAACCTTGCAGTAATTTCATCAGTCAATGTTTGATTTTGCTTTTATATAAATATGATTAAATGGATTATAAATGTAGGAAGTAAAACATAGTGCATAATGATATGCACAAAATTTTGCACACACAAAATAGGGGTCCACTTTGGAAAATGTCCCTCTGCCCATATTTCCTAATGGCTGGCCTGCTGGTTGCTGCAAACACAGCGTGACATATCCTCAGTTTGCTCTTTACAAAGATGGTGAACTCTCTTAAAAACAAATCTGGCTGAACAAACAGGGCCAAAGGGAGTGGCAATTGCGTCCCTCAACATATATTATAATTACTGCCTGGATATAACACATCTTAACTTACTCAATATGCTGTGTACTATATTTAAGATTTAATTTACGAGTTCAATATACTGTGTACTAAAATGAAACGAACCAGTGTGCAGTGTGACCCACCTTAAACCTCCACAGACCACCAATGTCATCGCTGCTCTCAAAGCAGACTGGCTCCAGCCCTTCATCCAGGCAGCACTTGATGCAGGCCAATCCTGAACTTCCTCCTCCGACCACCGCCACACGACGAGTCATATTTCAGCTGAAACAAATGTTTTCACTGTAAGTAACACAAGATCTGCAAACAGCACCAGAACACAGAACTCTGTCCCTTTCTTTACTCTGCTGAGTAGGATAATTATATCAGTCTGTCTGAAAATCACAGAAGAGGCAATGCATGCAGTAAAACGAGATCTGCAACATTTATCTTATAGGGCACTATGATCACCAGCCCGCCTTCTGGTTCAGTTTTAACTGGTTTCTCTAAATGTTGCGCAACCACGATCAAAGCTCATCACGCGTTAATGTGTAGCTACAAGTTTTACATATTTTAAATTAGAAGCAATGCACTGACTCAGACACCAACCCTGCTTTCGCAACTCGACTTTAACGTCTTGTTTACTGTGACTCTGCAAAGGCGGTGACAACAATCTCAGAATACAGCAGTTAAAAGTTTAACCGCATTTTTATTTTACTTTTACAAAAGTCTTGACAAAAATGTACCAAAAACTTACAATAGTATATTTCGGCACGTAGCCCACGATTTCCTACCTTCTTCGATTCGGATGAGGAAACGACTTCTCCGTGCTGGGTGTATCTGAGCAGTAGGCGGAGTGAGAATAAAGAGACTATGCACAACAATCTGTATCCCCAAACGACCCCCGTGGCAGTGCAGAGTCAGGGTTATTGAACAGGAGCAAAAGCAAACACACAGCACCCTTTTGCCTGACAACCTACCAGATGGCAGGGCCACACTGTCAGGGCTCTATATCATAATGGATCTGAGTGGCCCCACGATTCATAAAAGCAGCTTATGGGAGCCAAACAACCTTGGGGTCCACATCATGATGAATCTGATTAGGCCTATGGTTGATTTTAATGGTAGAAATGTAGAGCGATTGTTTCCTAATGTTACGCATGGTCCAAGGTGTGGCTATAGGTGCACTATCACATTCCTGTTTGTATAGATGTCAGGGTGCTCTGAGTAACTGTTTGACCTAATCACAGTGCCTGCTCACCTTTATGACATCACAGCAAATGGTCAAGATAGAGATGTATTGATTGACAGACGTGTGGTTGGAGAGAGGGTTTTTAGCTCACATTATGTGTTTTAACAAAGGGTGTGCCACAAGGTTCAATACTGGGTCCTGTCCTGTTTACCATTTATATCAACAACATTACATCCTCTATAACAAATTCTAATGCCCATCTTTACGCCGATGATACAGTTCTGTACTGCACCTCTAACACTGCACACTCAGCCATTGAAATCCTCCAGCAAGCCTTCGACAAACTACATTCACTTTTCAATCTGTAATTAGTTCTTAATGCAGACAAGACCAAATACATGATATTCTCAAGAGCCAGAAATATTACAGATGACAGTTTACACATCACCACTTTTACAGGACATAGTATTGAAAGGGTTTCAGTATATAAGTATCTGGGCATCTGGTTGGATCAGAAACTAACATTTAAATTCCATACTGACATACTGGCAAGTAAACTAAAACACAAAATCGGATACTTATATAGACACAAATTAAATTTTCCCTTACTTTGTAGGAAACAGATCATTGAGGCTGTATTTTTATCAGTTCTGGATTATGGTGATGTTATCTATAGACATGCTTCTGCCTCCACTCTCACTTCATTCGACTCAATTTATCACTCTGCACTCAGATTCATCACCGGTTCCAGTTACTCCACCCATCATTGTGTCTTATATGATGAGGGGGGATGGGCACCTTTATCTGTGTGAAGAGATATACACTGGCTACTTTTCATTTATAAAGTTTTGAATGGCAGCATGCCACCATACCTCAGCACTTTATTGAACTGGTCGCATAGTAATTACTCTGCACGTTCAACTGATTGCTTAATGCTCGATGTTCCCTGCACTAACACTGAATTTGGTAAAACTGCTTTTAGTTCTTCTGCAGCATCTTCCTGGAACACCTTGCAACGTACACTTAAACTCAACACAATGGTTACTATAGGCCAGTTTAAAACTATGATTACCAACTACTGTACTTTTGAATGTAACTGTTTTTAAAGGTGTTTGGTCTATTGTTATTTGCTCGTTCTTTGTGATTTTTAATTGTTGTTTGTTGTGCTCTCGACATCATTGTAAATGAGGGCTCACCCTCAATGATTCCTCAAGATTTAAATAAAGGTTAATTGAAATGAAATGAAAATGTGTGAATTGATGCACAGGAACACACATCTGTATGTAAGACTTTGGCCCCTGAATCCATCACCCAGTAAAAAAGGAGGCTGTTCCTGCTATCTAAACTGAGCACAAAAAGTAAGGAAATTTGTGTTTGGTAGATTACCAGAGATAAAAACTCATAATTGTACCATTCTCATATGGTTCTAAGAAAACTCCCACCAATCATTGCATTCGGACCGAATGCAATGATTGGCTGAGCATCCTGTCTGACGTGGAGGCCTCCAACTGACGTACATAACCGCTCCCGTAACATCTCTCTCTCTCTGAGACTGTGAGACAACAAATAGGCTAGTAACAGGGACGCTTGTGGGTATAAACTAGTAACAGGGAGGCTTGTGCATATAAACTAGTAACAGGGAGGCTTGTGGATATAAACTCTTCTCCATAACAAAGGCAGACAAATGTGGACCACGGCTTCCACCTCCAGCCGCTCCAACAGGGAAATCAGTTGGCAAAAGAAAGAATAATGCAGAAAAAGCTAACACTAAGAGAAAAGTCGATGCTGCAGGAGCCAAAACTCGGGTCAAGACTGATGGCGAAGATGCCGAAGACTGATGCAGCTTCATCCTGAGCTAAAAAGGGACGAGATGGTCGCAGAGTTTCTGCTGGTCACGTATTTTTAGTTTGCCTCTAATGTAACATAGGCTATAGGCTAACGTTATATATGACAACACAGCATCCCATTGCTAATGGCTAACGTTAGCCTACTGTAGCATAGCCTCTGAAACATTAACATTATCTTCCTTGTGCGTTTCCACTTACTAGTAACGTTAACGCTACTATCTAACGTTAGCACTGTAACCTTATTCTAAAACTCATCAGTCATCACTGACTCTGGTTGAGTTTTAAAACTCCGGGGTTGACTGTCTTGGTTGTAATGTTACACGCACTCTCCTCTTCCGTGTATCTAACATTACCTTGCCAACGCCTACGTCTATCATAGACGTAATGAGGACGCAATGGAGGAGGGGGGAGTAGGCGATGTTCAAATTTTCTCTAAGTGCTGTGTGAAATGCAAGAAAGGTAAGAGTCACTTTAAATGGTGCCACATTTGTAAGGAACATGCATTTGTGGGATGAGCAGCAGAGCTGAGTATGTGGGTTGCGCCCATGAAAAATTTGCCAAGTCTTCTCTGCCAATGACAAACAACTTTTTTTTTTGCTGTTGACTCTTGTTTGGTGGATTGGATGATTGAAGTCTGAAGAAATTTTCATGGGCGCATTACTCAGCTCTGCTGCTCATCCCACAAATGCATGTTCCTTACAAATGTGGCACAGCACCATTTAAAAGGGAAATAAACAGGCTTTCCAACGGCTTATGATTTATTGCCAAGAAGCATTTTTACAACAAAGAAATAATTTAACAAACACAAATTTCCTTACTTTTTGTGCTCAGTTTAGATAGCAAGAACAGCCTCCTAGTTTACTGGGTGATGGATTCAGGGGCCAAAGTCTTAGTTGGCCGTTTCCATTCTAATAACCATGATACATTTAAATGCTAAACAAAAACAGAAAGTTATATTAGCAGTCGCATATCCAATCTTAAAGATTTGCCCTAAAAATGAGTATCAGCACTAGGTTATAACTTTGTAGAACCATGTGTACAATACTCTAAAGCTCCTTTTCCACTGCACAAGAAACCCGCTAGCACACGCTAACATCCAATAGTATGTCTCTGCAGACCCGGAGACTGCAGATTCAGACCCGCAGTTCTGGACCCGCAGTTCTAGACCCCTTGTTTTTCGTCCCCTACTGGACGGCTGTATAACTGCAACTAAATCAGCATCTCACCCAAACACCACTGTTTGAAAGAAGTTGGACTTTTAATGCTTTATTACAATTTACAATTTTAAAATTTTATTACACCCGAATAAAAATACCAAGATTTAATTGTTGATTTATGCCTGGGTGCTGTTCTGCATCATTATTGTTTGCTGGTTGTTCTGTATGGTTTGATCCAACTATTTTAGTTCTTTATTTCTTAATATTCATCAGACTGCTCTGACTAGCACGCCAAAAACTTGCACGGCATTGATCAAACCCGCTACAACATATAATAGGAAATGTCTGGTCTTGGGTGTCCAGTGCTCACTTTTGTTGTGGGAATTTGAAACAAAGGCTGTGAAATACTGAAATGGTTTGAAATGTTTTATTGTGTGCAGTGGTTACACCACACATCAGGGAGATCTGCAGAGAAAAAAAAGAAATCAAACATATCACAAAACTGAAAACAGAAACACTTAAAAAAATTAAATGCCTATCACAGTCTACACTGAAATACTGAAGAATCTGGAGCATAGCAAATACATTATTATATCGACATATTAACAATAGTGCCCCTTCCTTCCTCATCTGCCTTTCGATCCTCCACAAAACTCCTCCACTTCACTGTGGTTTCCCCTTTCTGGATTGTTATGTGCACCTTAAAAAGAGAGTCCCTAATTATTCAAAGTTAAGATTTTTCAACCGTTTTACACACATAAACAAGGCCAAAACCTAATAATAGACAAAAATACATTTCTGATCATCTGCGCTGGATGAGCTTAATTTCTATCCACAAAATCTCTAAATATATGCTATAGAGTAATATCAATGTAGTGATATAAACACACATGATATATAATATTATGAATAATAAAGGAAAAACGTGTGTAGGTGTATTACATGATAAACATGAATACAAAATTAACTTTTAGCATAAAGTACACTAATTGCCAATATGTAAACAGTTTCATGCTTGTATGAAAACGTAAGCCTATACACGTTTTTCTCATATCATCCACTTCATTGCTTTAATCACTTATTCATGTTTAATTTAAAGCACATGCTAAAATTATTTGTCATCGCCCTTCGGTTTCATGAAACAATATGTGCAGGTCAAACAGTTCATTGCTAACAAGCTAAACTATTACCTACTACTTTAACCCATATTTGACGTGCCTTTCAGACTATCGTGGTAAAGACAGTCATATCATTTTAAACGTATCACTGTAAAACATGAAATTCGCTCTCTAATTCAAGTCAACAAAATAGTTTAAACAAATAATATGATTCACATTCAATACTCACACTCGGATCGTCGTCGGCCATATTCAATAGTTGTAATAGTATGTTGGCTTCCAATGAAATAGAGGGCGCTGTCGTGAAATACAAGGAGTCTAGAACTGTGGGTCCAGATCTGCAGGTCTGAATCTGCAGTCTCCAGGTCTGCAGACACATCCTCCTCCTAACATCTGGCGTTTTAATGTAATGGAAAAATTACAATCTGCATTTAAACCTGGGTCAAATGACTCTGCAGTTGTCACTGGTATTTATCGGCTCCTGCTCTGATCGGCAATAATGGAAACAAAACATCTGAGTGATCATGCAAATTTTAGCCCCTTAACTGTCGAGATGCAATGACGCACCAACACAAAATGCCATCTGTCTCCGCCTAAGCAGCACTCAAACATCGATCCAGACTAGTCTGCACTGAGTTTGAAAGAGAGACTGATTAAGTAAGAGATATATAAAAATAAGTAACCACTGCAAAGTTTTCACAAGCCTCCATGTTGCTTTCTACTGTTCACTAACAGGTTCACTGGAGTGTCTGTGACGTCAAATGTGACACACCACAAAAAAACAAAAAAACAAAAAAAAACACCTCCACACAGAAAGGCATATTAACCTGCTGCAGAGCCTTGTCCACAGCTCTGGTTTACTGCCAATGGGAAAGGAGTCTAAAGCCTTTTTTAACAGGTTTCAGATTTGGAGAGGCCTTTTTTCCAATCGCACGACAGATGCAAGTGGAACCGTAATTTTAACACGAATACTTTATTTGCAGTATAAAAACAATCTAATGATATTAAACACAACACACACAGATTAGTCAGTCAGTAGAGTGCATTGAATACAATATAATTCTATGCAAAGACCTATTGCCAACCCAGTCCTGCACACTGCACCTGTACCTGGCACTGTTTATTTGGTGGTTCCTGCTCCAATTTCCTCCTTCTCCTCCTCCTCTTCCTCCTTCTTCTCCTCCACCTCCTCTTCCACCTCCTCCTCCTCCTTCTCCTGTCCCTCCTCATCTGTCTCTTCCTCTTCCTCACTCCTATGACTGGCATTATCCTGTCCCTCTGCATCAACTCCAATATTATCTTTTTAACTTTGAACACAGACTCTCTCCTGAAATAGGATATGTTTTATTTTGCAATAAAGAAATTTGTGCGTTTTTCTGGTCAGCCAGTATGGATTTTATTTATAGTTGATAAAGCAGATTAATGCTTTATGCATGTATGGTGTAACATTGCTGATAGGCTACCTTTAATGTTCTGTGTGCCCTGAACACATCCAAAAACACAAACTGGAGTTCTCAATGGGCCTGAAAATCACAACCCGACCCTGCGGGTTTTTAAGCCCAGACCCGACGCAGCCGACACACCAGCATTAGCCTAATTATCTGCCCGAAAAAAAGGAAGCCCGAGGCCTGACCCGGCCCGAGTCATTTGCATATTTTTTCGGCTCGAACCCGCGGGTCTGGTCCGGCTTGTCGGGCCGGCCCGACCCGTCTGGGATGATAGGGCCATGTAGGCAGTGCTTGCTAACAGCTCGTATCAACCCTTAATATGCAAAATATTAGATTAACCCAGTCTGATGTTCCACTCTGTGCCACTGCCACCTGCGGCTGTGAGGGCAGGCTGCTGCGCTCAACCGCGGCTGCGTTTTATGGGGTAAAAGAACGTTGCGACCACCAGCAACACCAGTTCGGCCTGGAACAGACCGGCCCTGGCAGGTTTACTTGTGTTTAAAAAAAACTTGCGTACATGTGCTAATTTTGGTGGAAAAGAGGTAAAAGGGAGCAAATATCTGCTTTGTCCTTGTGCCCATCTGTAGGTTCTTATCTGAAAAGATTGATGATAGCTTATCGCCCAGTCGGGTTTATTCAGTTCTGCAGACCAGGTGAAAGTACAACTGATTTTAATCTGACATGAAGGTAAAAGTCTAAAAGTGCAGTGTATTCCAGCAGCGGTGTTGAAAAAAATGGGATCTCTTGGACACCCAGTCATGGCTAATTCTCAGTTATAGTATGACATGGCTATTTCCTCATATTTAGGCTAAATTAAACAAATAGCAACAATTCACAATATATTTGAAGTAACTGAAATGATGCTGTGTAAATATTCCTTGCATTTGTTTTGCATTTTATTGTGTAGAATCAGATTTTCCAAGGCAAAATGGTAAGGGTAAATCACCACAACAATATACCGTTATTGTTTCATTTCTAACATGAAAGTGTTATATTCTGATGTGATGGAGAAGTAATGGCTTGAAACTGAAACTGAAAGTTTGTGGAAGACTTCTTCTTTTAGCATCACACAGCAACTTCCATTTTATCCAGTTTATTAGTTTGTTTCTGCGCATCAAGGTCAATTCCTTATCATATTAAAACTCTCCTGCAATCACATGAAGCAATAGAACCTCTCAGGAAGGCATTCCTGTAGGCCAAAATCAACTAGCATGAAACCCAACATTGAGTCAACTGGTCTGATAACAATAACATTAGCAGTAAAGACTAAAATGTCGTCACATATACCGTCACTTGTCACCGGTAGACAGATTAATTCTGCAGAATGATTTCAAATGTACAGCTGCCAAAGTTACATCGTGTTTCTTCAACTCCACTGGCAGAATAAATGCTGGCATTGTAGGTCTATGGTTCTGCAAACCTCACAGAAACACCCGGCCAGGATTAGGAAAATATGTTTTGACTTAAAATACCTGGTTTGGTTGCCACAAACATGGGAAAGTCTCTTGCCAAACATGGCTGGACATGTCCCAAATATCCAGTTCAGTCGCTACAAATACCTCTAACGCTTGTGAGAAAATACCTGATTTTGTTGCTACAAACATGGCAAACTTTTGTCACTCCAAATACAGCTGGACATGACCTTAACTTAAGTAAAAAAAATACCTGGTTCCCTCTCTACAAACACAGTGAACTCTTGTTAAAAATACTCAGTTTGGTTGCTACAAACACTGTGTGACATGTCCAGAACTCTTGCTAAAAAATACTCGGTTTGGACACTACAAATGTGGCTGGATATTTCCCGAGCTCTATTTGAAAAAAATACCCATTTTATCAGTCTCCAATACTGGTCTGCTGCTGTCAGCTGTTGGCAGCCATCTTAGCTAAGCATCAAGCCATCCACCATCCCCTCCTCTACCTAATGAGAAAGCTCATATACATGCAATCTACGTCACTTGAGAATTGTTGATATGATATGAAATGCACAAATGTGACATATCTGTGATTTGCAGAAATGCACAATGCCAGCATTTCATTCTGGCGACTGGGCTGGGTTTGTACAGACCCTCAGTGGGTGGCCAGAAAGCTAATTATAAAAATAATAAAGGCTTTATTTCTAATTGTCAAATTAGTGCAGTGTGCCTTCAGCACTTAGAGATAGAGAGTGTTGTACAGTAGTGTGCTGCTTCACTGCTGCCTCCGTCATCATGTTATCATTAATGCAATCAGCTCACTGAGGAGCTCTGAAGAATGCAGGAAGACGGAAAAAAGAGGAAATGGAGTGTTTGTTGTAGCAGAGGCAGCACAGCAGAGCAGCACCTGAAAAGAAAAACATCACATTTGGTCTGGAGGAGCGTCTGGTCTCTGGGTTTGGTACCACTCTGGTCCTGAATGGCTGAAACACCCGCTCCCACTGAGTGAGAATGGCCTGACGGGCTCCAGCCCACTGACCCGGTCCAGTCAGACGGTACTGATAAGGAGTACAGGGACCCAGCAAAACCTGCAGTGCCAGTCTGGGGTCCTTCAGGAAGAGCCACAGTATGTTCGGTCGGACCCCTATCTGCTCTGCCAGAAAGTCCCGGTAGGGGGTGTAGTCCACCTGGAGAGGGTTCAGCTCCGAGCACATATATCTGACAGAGAGGAAGACAAAGACCATTGTAAAAACAAACACACAAGCAAAACATGTTGTTTTAATAAGGGACTAAAAGAGCAACTAAACCCCAAACACTTCAGTTGAATATCAATATGTAATAATAGGGTTGTCATGTTATAACTATACATACTGACTGCCATCTACAGGTTGAAACCTGGCAATTGCAAATACATTTCCCTATAGACTAATGATTTTGTCACCAACAGACCACATCAATTTCAAAATAGAAAAATAAAGCAGAAACCTAACAATTTCGGGATGCGATGAGCCAACTCAGGCGTTATTAGAAAAATATTAACTGTGTGACACAGTTACCAGATGTATAAAAGTGTATTTGGACTGTTGAGCTGCAACAATAATTCGATTGGTCGATCAAAAGATAATTACCCGCCAACTGTTTTGATAATTAATTAATTGCCATTTTTAGGCAAAAATGGTTCCAGGTTCTCAAAGTAGACGTCTTGCTGCTTTTCTTGGTCTGATGTTAGTTGTAAACGGAATATTTTGGGGTTTTGCCTGTTTTTGAATTAAATAATTAATTGATTAAGTTGATAAAATAATGACCAGATTAATCAATAATTAAATTAATTTATTAATTGCAGACTGAGTGGACTGTACGCGCAACATTGAAATGGATTGTGTTATAATCTCAACATCTTTACATGGATCTACAACTCAGTTTCACGCTTATTCCTACTTCTGATGCATCGTCACTGAGTCCTTTTCAATTTCCTTCACCATGGTCTCCTCTGAGGGGAGGGTTGATAAGCCTGCATGACAAAAAAAAAAATCAGTCAACTTAAAATACATGCAATTAAAATTATTTAATTTTGTCTTACTCTAATGGTCTGTTTGGGTCCTGGAGACCAAGGCCTCTCTTTAACAGGTCAATTAAACATACTGAAAATTGTTTTATCACCCTGTTGCTTTATGATAAACCAAGCGTGAAACTTGTAGTTAAAGTGCTGTACTTTACCTTTAAACACTCTTGTAGCCCAGCGTGCTTGTAACTCAGCCACAGGGTTTATTGCCCCGAGAGCGTGGATGAAACCCACCACAGCCAGCGTAGGCTGGGTCAGTGCAGGAGGGAACACGTGCTTGTAGAGACGCAGCCTGTATCCAGATTTAGCCTGCAGAGCTGGAGGCAGGAAGGGGAAGCTGTAGTTGTAGCCTGTGGCAAACACCACTACATCCACCTGTGTGACACACACACACACACACAAAACAACTATTAGATTGACTTCTACTTACTTTTACTTTGTGTGTACAGAAAACAAAAAGGAAAGAGAATCACTAGGGTTACAATGGTTTGAGGTTTTCATGTTATAACCATATAATCACAGTATCACTGTAATACAGAATTTACAGTATTATCAGTCAATATGATCCCTAAAGGAATGAAAATGGAAGAGTTATTATTAGCATTTTTTCATGGTATAATAACCATCAATTTTTACATCATGGTATACTGTACCTTAAAACCAGTATATCACTGCAGCCCAGCACAGTACTAAATGCAACAATATTATATTTATATCATATGATTAAGATCAGGTACACAGTCTAAGAACTGTACTAATACACACCTTGTCTATGATGCTCCCATCGACAAAGACCACGCTGGACCCACGGAACTCCTTTGCATTTGGTTTCACCTGAACACGACCTGAGATGATCCGACCGGGCAGGTCGTCATTCACAACAGGGATCCGTTCAAAAAACCTGGATAAAGGACAACAGGGCTGTGATAGGACAGTGTATGAGGACACAAAACACACTCAGCGTACAGTAAGAAGAAGAAGAAGAAGATATACTTAACTAATCCTCGAGGGGAAATTACACACACACACGTTCACAAACAGGGCCTCTACATGCATTAAACGGAGAGACTTCAGAGTGAGGGGGGGCTGCCTTGGACAGGTGCCCTGAGCAGTTGGGGGTTCTGTGCCTTGCCTTGCTTAAGGGCACCTCTGTAGTGCCCAGGAGGGAAACTGGCACCTCTCTAGCCACCAGTCCACACTCCAGACTTGGTCCATATGGGGACTTGAACCAGCTGCCCTCTGGTTCCCAAGCCAGGTACAGTAGTTAGTTCATACCAGACCAGAGGAAAAGTTTCAGTTTACATCTTGCCCATCTCAGGCTCACACCTTCTTATTACAAACAGATTCTAATTTAGGCATTTAAACCTGCTTTATTAACACTTTGGATCCTCTAGCACCACCATGAGGCCAAATGTTTCACTGGTGCATAAAATATATAACACTGTGTTAAGACATTTTAGTTGCCATTTCTAAGAACGAAATATGAAGAAAAATGAACATTTGTAACCTGCAAAATCATCTGTATGTTGTCAGCTCTGCCAGTGTATTATAGGATGTATGAACATTGCAATCTGAAGCACATTTGGAGGATGTGGACTTTGGTATGTATGCTTCAAGATAATCACACTGACCACACAATAAGACAAAGATGTTCATCTAAAGTATCTTGTCTGTTACCCATTTTTTGGTTTCAGCCCATATAGTCTGTGGTCCAAAGCCTTTTCCAGCCCCTTCTCCACCATCCTGTTGATCCACGAGGGGAAGAGCTTGTACATCATCATATCCATTCGTGAAGTCCCAATAAGGTCATTTGGTATCCCTCCCGGTCCCAAACGGCTGACAACCCATGCTCCGCTCCTGGTGCTGAGGTACACCTGCAGGTCAGGACAACACATAGAGGGTTAAGATTCATGTGCCCAGCTTTTAAAATGTTTAAGCGTCACTTTGTTTTTTTAAGAATAAAGCCAAATACAGAACTGAGTTGAATATTGTACCTCCTCAGCAACTCTACTGACATCCACAGCAATATCACCTCCACTGTTTCCAATCCCTATCACCACCACTCGTTTCCCCTGCAGCCCCTCAGCGTTGCGATAATCCCAGCTGTGGAAATATCTGCCTTCAAAGCTCTCAATACCTGAGATGAAAAAAAAAAGTAAATTATTTTCATAGCTCTCTGGAGTTGGATTAGCAGCTGCACTGTGTCTCTGTCAAATGCAGTGGGGGATCTTGGGTGACATAATATGAAGCAAGAAAACAAAATAGTGTTTATAATGACTCCTGTACCTGGGAAGTCTCTGAGAGGCAGGTGAGGACGGGTGTAGTGTCCGGTACAAACCATCACTGCATCAAAAACATGAGTCTTCCTCTGACCGTCTCTCCTCTGTGTCTCCACCTCCCACTGGCCTGTCACCTCAAAATCCAGGGTCTGCCTCACACTGACGACGCTAGTCTGTGACACACACATACACACAAGAATTAACACTGATATTTATCTATTAGGTTTATTGTTAACACTTCACTTTAAGTCCCCTATTTAGAGGCAACGGCTCTGGTCCCTGTTTACCTCCTGCCAGCAACTGCGTTAACAAACATGCCAACAGGAAGCACCAAGGAACCCATTTACATTGTTTATGTTGTCAGATCTGAAAGAACAAACAGTGTGCATCCACTCAGTTAAAAGTTAAAGTTAAAGCCCCACTGATTGTCACACACCTGAGTGTGTGAAATTTTTTTTCCGCATTTGACCCATCCCCTGAGGGAGTGGTGAGCAGCAGCAGTGCCGCGCTCGGGAATCATGTGGTGATCTAACCCCCTGATGCTGAGTGCAAGCATTTGCTTTGCTGTCTTGGTGTCTTTGGTGTGACCCGGCCAGGGATCGAACCCATGACCTCCCAGTCTCAGGGCGGACACTCTACCACTACACCACTGAGCTGCTGGAGAGGCTCATTCTCATGACTTTGTGAGATGTTAACATTAAACCTCAGCCGAGCTGTTATGTTTGCTACCTCCGTGGTGCTAGGTGAGCTAGCAGTAGATGCACGCTTCCTTCTGCACGGTGATACGGTTGGTGGGTGTGGTTCAGTAGACAGAAAATAGTTCCTACATGAAACCGCTCACAGAAAGGTCTGTGGATTATCTTGAGTAACCAGGTCATGATTTCTGCAAAGAGACATCGCTGCTGAGTTTTAAATGTATATTTTTGCAACTTTGAGCACCACAAGCTGAGTGCCATCCAGTTCCACTATATGCAAAAGAAAGCAGACATTGCCATGGCTGATATTTCCCAACACAGATCAGCTCACATCAAAACGATCTAGACTGATAAATAGCACTACATGTAAGAGGGAAAATATGTGTTTATGATTTTGGAGTGAACTGTCCCTTTAACTTCATACAGAAACAATACCACCAGTCCTTAAAGTCACTGACCTCAAAATGTATGTGCTCCAGCAGCTTGAAAGCCTGAGCGTAGAGGCGAAAATACAGCAGCACCTGAGAGTGGTGCATGTTGTTGGGGAGCTCAGCTGGAGGAGGGAAGTCGCTGAGAGACATCATCTCTTTGGAGCTGTTGACAATCACCGACTGATAGATGTTGGCACGCCCAGGCTCTGGCTTCTCCTGCAGAGGGACAATATGAAGATAGATAGCGACAAACATTTTCTTTATCATTTAGCTTACTTTGTCTGCAATTTAACTGTCAACATGAACAAATCTGTCACTACGGTATAAATAGTATTACACATTTCCCCTGTGATATGTCCCAAACTTTAAAGGACTTTGAAAATTCGAGGTGAAATGGTTTTTACTGTCTTTGGTGGACAATTATAGCATAAATATAACACTGTGTGGCAACTGGATTCTGTTTAGTGGTTTCCAGCCTTTTTCCTTAAAATGGAACTTCGCCTATTTTCAAAATTCATACATTTTATTCCTATGGTCTAAGACAGTCTAGAAATACAAGTAAAAATGAACAAAATCCAAAAACTAGAGTGCTAAAACTCAAATTTGTGGTGTCATCAAAAGTCTGGAGCTGTTCCACATACAGTGAGTGGTGTAGTAAAAAAGTATAAAAACAAAATCGGGGAGTGAAGCAAAATGCCGCCTACCTACTTTTGTTTATACAGAATGCGCCTTTTTCGGGGCAATGGGGGGCGTGAACAAGTAACAAAACGTGTAGCTCAGCGTGTGACGTAAACAGTGACGTGGGAGGGAAGCCGCGGCTGGTCAGTCCTTCGGCGATTCTCTCATAAGTCCGCCCGTCCTTCACTGTCCCCGTCATCTGACAGTTAATGGCCTCTTCGTTTGCGAGGACAAGGAGGGCGCGCAATTCCTTGTCTCCCCAGTTGCTCATCTTTACAGTGTCTGTCAGGTTTGTGTTTCCCTCTTGCTACTAGCTGCTCGCTAATTCCCGCTATCAGCTGTTTCCTGTTTATCCACCGCCAGTGGCTCGCACGTACAGCGTCATCAACAGCTCCTCCCACAAGTCTTCAACAGCCCCTCCCGTTGCAGAAGGCCACCTCGGTCTGTTTAAACTAAAAGGGTTCCACCAATATGTCTACCCTACGAGGCGGAAAATCGGGCACCTCGGATCAAACCCGCCAATCCAGCTCTGTGTGTATAAACACTCACAGCTTGCCAGCAAAACAGCCCAACATTCGCCCAAAATCTGGCAGCTCATCTGGCCCTCAGCCTCCCTGAGGCTTTGGCGACCCCCAGTGGGGGTCGAGAGCCACAGGTTGAGAACCAGTGTTCTACAGAGAAGAAACAACAGTACCAAAAAATGTTGAGACTCTGCTCTGTGTAAGCAACATAAGCCTCAGGTCTCGTGGGGAAGTCTCTCGTTACCAGTGTGTTATTATTGATTTATATTGTGTCTACAAGTAAACAAAACAAAACAAAACATTAAAAAAATCTATATTTATATTTGCATCCTGCCTCAGTGCTTCTACAAGTTCACATATTCTCATTGTTTGGCATCAAAGGGTCAAACTCCCCAAAACTTAGTGTAGTGCTCTAAGGGCCTTACCAGTTGTGGTAACCAACTTGTGAATGACAGCTCTTTTTTTTTAGCATAAATAATCTTTGAACCACATGAGATCCATAGAGGTCTTATCCTCTTTCATTTACTGTCAGATTTACAGGCACATCCCTACACAGGTTAACATTTCAAACAAATGACCATGACTGCAGCACCAATGCAAGCTTATAATGTACAAGCATTTAAAACACATTCTCCCTCACCTTAAATCTCCAAAGGCCCCCAATATCATGGCTGCTATCAAAGCAGGTGGGCTCCAGACCTTCATCCACACAGGCCTTGATGCTGGTCAGACCAGAAATCCCTGCGCCGATCACTGCCACCTTCTGAACCATGCTGGAGAGGAACAAGAGCTCTGACCTGACGCAGAGGCTGGAACTGGAGTGACAAGAAAGGTGTGCTGTTGTGAAGCAGTTTTATGTTGACTGTCATTTACAGCTGATCATTTCTGAATGATTAATTAGCATATAAATGATGGCTTGTTTTAGGTTACTTGAATCAATCAAGGATAATTGTATTAATTTGGGTATGAGACAGACGAGTACTAAACAAGATTAAAGTTTCATCTTATTCTAAAGAACAGTGGCTCCATCCATAACCTTTGTTTTCCAGAAAAATGTGGATAGAAAGTGAAATTAAAACAGACTTTTTCATAAAAGAACTTGTATACAGGTGTAACAAATACCAGCAAAGGGTGTAGGTTTCATCTCAACATTGATGGGGACATGTATGAAACAGCATGTGTGTCAATGTGAGGTGGAAATGTCCCTAATTTAAGGCAGATGCTGACAGCACCCAGGTGTCAGTGTGGTTAATAACACCCAGGTGTATATCATCATGGCAAGCACCCAGGTGTCTGCAGCCAATAATCCTGCTGCTTGGGATAATATTCATGGGTGTCCTGAAATGTTGAAATATGGCACTAACACAAAGAGTCTATTCAGCTATTCTGCTGAAGTCCTGTACAAAGGGTGCGCTCATTAGCTTAGTGCATCCTAAAAACACAAAGCAATGAGTAAACTGAGTGTGAAAATGATAAGCCAGCCCTGGCTCACACCTCGGACTCCTGTGTGAAAGTCAGCATTAGTCAATAAGCTTAACCCATTCATCCTCGATGTCATATGTCACTCTTTATACTAGGTCAGCTCACTTTAAATCTAAAATACACAGAGTTGAGACTTGAATTTAACCACTTGGACAAATTTCTGAAATTGTGCAGCCTCATTTATAAGCCAACCAAGTTTTCTTTTGGATCTCACTGTTGACTCAAGAGCTGATTATTTCAGACAAATAAAGATCCCTGCAGTGAGAGAGGAAAAAGAGAATTTTAAAGATCTTTTATCAGGATCGTGTTGAGACAAGAGGAACTTCTCAGGGGCTACATCTAAGAAATAAAAACAAAAAAAAAGTCATAAACTCAAACTGATGTTATACAGAGAAATAGGCAGGACAAAGAAGAGATCTTATTTTGGATTGCAACTCCTCTAGGTAGTAGAGACCTCTTTGACCTAATCTCAACTGCCTCAGACCTTAAAGGTGCACACGTGACGAGACTTAGCCAATCACAGCATGCATTGGGATCCATAAAAAAAGCATTGTATGGATGGGTGTCAATAGCCAAATCGCTGCAGAGTGACGATTCTCACCCCCGTGCAAATAGACAATACGTTAATTTAATCAAAATAAAAGTCCTCTGCCACACGAACATGATAGATTCCTGCTACGTTAAGTCGAACTATCTGCTGCGAAATAACATTGTCACAGTTCTGCCATTTTACTCACCTCATGCAGTACTTTTCCATTCACCCCACCTCTGCTCCACTCTGACTGCCAGCCACACCCATCTAATCAAGGCAACTCCACTCACCTGCTTTCAATCAGACTGGCTCAGTATAAAGACTCCTGCTCGCCACACACTCACTGTTAGAATGTTCTTCGCATGCAAGATGCTCCAGCACCACTACTACTACTACTACTACTACTACTACTACTACTACTACTACTACTACTACTACTACTACTACTACTACTACTACTACTACTCCTCCTCCTCCTCCTACTACTACTACTACTACTACTACTACTACTCCTCCTCCTACTACTACTACTCCTCCTCCTCCTCCTACTACTACTACTCCTCCTCCTCCTCCTACTACTACTACTACTCCTCCTCCTCCTACTACTACTACTACTCCTCCTCCTCCTACTACTACTACTACTCCTCCTCCTCCTCCTACTACTACTACTCCTCCTCCTACTACTACTACTACTACTCCTACTCCTCCTCCTACTACTACTACTACTACTACTACTCCTCCTCCTACTACTACTACTCCTACTCCTCCTCCTCCTCCTGGACTGATTTCCTGTTGCCAACCTTGCCTGTCTTCATCCAGCCAACCTTGCCTGAATCCCGGTAATTTCCTCAGCCTTTTGTCCCCAACCACGAGTTCTGCTTTTGCCCTCCTGGTTTCAGTCTGCCTGTTCCTGTGGCTGCGTGGAGATTTCCTGCCTTGTCGCAACAGTGTGAGTTTCTTTGATCCAACCTGTGACTCCCTGTTGAACAGAGACTCTTGTTTTGCCACACTGGTTTCAGTGTCTATGCTATGTGGATTTTCACCTGCTGGACATTTCCTCTGCATTTTCCTGTGCCTGCTGCAAACTACATTAAAGTTATTACCAACTGTACCTGTGTGTCTGCTGTGCTGCAATTGGGTCTTAAACACACCCATTTCAAACATAAGTCTTTGATGAATTTGATTCATGCAGGAACAGAGAAACAAAAGTGCTCATGTTGGAAGAGATTTCAAGATTCAGGTTAGAAAGACTTATTTAGGAAGTCAAATAACGTGAAGTGTATGGTAGGCCACAGATTAAGTAGGGCGCTACTTCAAAGTTGTTTTCATTTTAAATGGTCAAATAATTTCTCTGATGCGAATGATATCAGAGGAGTAAATATGCTTTACATTATAATTGCAGTGTACCTCTATCACGTCAACACAGAAACACATGCACAAACACACCCATTAGGACACAGACATTTTGACTTGTTACAGTAGGAAAAGCACAAATGTAAATCATATCAATGATGGCTGAATTCCATTTAGCTGCTTTGCATGATGGCTCGCTGGAAGTGAACACAACAAAGCCATCGTCAGTGTCTTTAGAAATGCCTGTTTTTCCTGCTATGACAAGTCAAAATAATCTGCTGTGAGAAATGATTATTGCTACAACATTTGCAACTGAACAGCAACTTCTCAGAAGACCACCCTCAAATCTACCTTACCAGTAAAACGCCAAACCAGCTGCCAACTACACCAACACATAACATGAGCAACTTGCATCAGCCTTACCTCTTCACAGGGACAGAGTAACAATGGACCAAAGCTCCACTCTTAAAATTTATCAGTCAGGTTTTAACATACAGACAGGTCAGGTTGATGATTGACAGGTTGTGGGTCTCCTAAACAAAGGAAGTCATGAGGAAACAAATGTAGCGCACACTTTCCTGGGAAGTGAGTTTTTAGTTTAACCAAGATTTTTTGGAGTTATCAAAGGATATCAGCTTTACTAGAAAGTGCATTACAATGTCATTTCTTGTTCATATAGATATAGATGTAACTTGAAACGAAGAACAAAGGGTCTAACACAGGGTGATTAGGCGGTGGGTGGTCCCTGTTTAATAAGTACCAAAAGCCAAACTGGCTAAACAGAAGGCAAAGTGCAACCTCAACTCAGCACAACCTCGGTAAAACGCTTTAGGTGCTGAAATTATGTGCCAGTACACAGCATTTAATTTGTAAAAGCTGAGGCCAGCATTCATGTGAAACAATCTTTGAGTTCATGTAATTAATCATGTTCACACCACCTCAAAAAGGCTTTTCTACTATGATGTATAAGATGAGGAAATCCAATTAGGAACAGACACTCTCAAGACCTTTGACCCAAGCACAGGATCAATCAGCAGTCTTGGGATGCTTCTTCTCTACACCTTACTGAAAAGCCAGTGTTGTAGTCTCTTGCAGCTCTGAAGCACTATGCATGTGTCTTACTGGCATCTTATACAAACCTACTGTACACACAGAGTGCCAAGGCATTTTGCGCTTGGTGCAAGCATGGATTACTGAACGGGTCTGCAGGCGCAGGCAGGGATGGGCAGTATTTCTATTACTTGCATTTAAAATACGTGTTTCAATTACATTTGAGTATTTTGTAATTTGTATTTGATGAGGCTGATAAAAAGCAAATGTATTTGTAACAAAATACTTAACAAAATACTTAAATACTTTGTATTTAAAATACTCAAAATACTTTCTCCACAAATCAAAAAACAAAAATAATAGGCTACACATTCTTATAATATTGGATGTAACAATAGTTTTTACACTATATATATACATATTAGGGATGGGCAGCACAAGCAAAAACACTATTCGAAAATCATGGCAACTATTCAACGATTTTTCGAATAATCGCCCCCCCCCCCTCCCTCCCCTCACGGAGCCACGCGCACAGAGATCCATTCATCATTACGGCCGGGCTCCACCGGCTGCAAAGTGTCATGTCAGCGTAGCGTCACGGCGTATTCATTTGGGCTCCACTGACTGCGTACGGAAGCGACACGTAGAGAAGCCAGCGGGGTTGTTTACCGTTTGCTGAGCCGAGAGGCTGCATGGAGGCTGCATGAAATGTTAAAGCATTTTCCACCTAAGTTATTACATATATTTGAGTTATCTACAAGTTTACTGTACTGTTTGTCGTCTACTCGCTTTCAAATGTCTGCCACGGACATTTACACAATGTCACAGATAAACATGGCTAAATGCATGAAAAAAAAAATCATCACATATCACCTCTGATAATGGTTTATTCATTTAAAAACACATTGTGCTCGTTTAGCACACTATTTCATGTAGTTTTTATCAGCTGTTTTTTTTTTAAACTTGGGCCATTCAATGTGGCCACGTGAGCTCAATAAAGTTGTCTGAATCTAAATATGAATCAATAAATAATATTTTAGGGTAGCCTACATGTCCCTAGCTTTTTTTCTTTTTTTCATTTGAAAAAAGTTGAACACAGGGCTCCAAAGGCTCCAAGTTAGACAGCAAACAAGTGAACTAGCGACAGTAGCTACAGTATTGGGGTCATCCCTATGTTTCCCGGGTTCTATGTTCCCCACTTAACCCTGCAAAAAAAGCTTCTATGTTCCCCACTTACACAAAAAGGGTTCTATGTTTCCCGCTTGGTTGAGCGGGACACATAGAACCCGGGAAACATAGAACCTTTTTTGTGTAAGCGGGGAACATAGAACCTTTTTAGCAGGGTTAAGTGGGGAACATAGAACCCGGGAAACATAGATACGCTCCCCTGCTCACGTGGATGGACCCACACTACCAGTAGACTACCTTGCTGCTCACGTCTTCCAAGTTCAACAGATTATCTGTCAAGATAAATATTTTATCTGAGTGTGACAGATGTCGACTGGCTTGATGTGTGATTTATGTCTGGGTCTGGCTACATAGCCTATTGTATAAATACATGGTGGTGATAGTTATAATATCAAGCTAGCAATGCTTATGCTAACTGTCTAGGTTAGTGCATAGCCAGTGTTTAGCAAAGCTAGCGATCAATGCTAACATGCTAATAACGCTAGCATGCTGTCTAGGTTAGTGCATAGCCAGTGTTTCTGTTTCAAAATACTCTGCTATATCAAATTGTGAGAAAACAAGCGTAAATCTGCAATAGCTGCGACCAAATTTGCTACTATCACGCCATTAATGGATGAATCATGGTTGTACTTTCTGGCATAGTTACTTGTGGTTTCTAATTGCAGCATGTAAATTTTGAGCATTTTTGGTCAAGGACTTCTTTAGTTATTCACAACAAGATTTGAATCGGTTAGTATAGCGCCACCTATGGATGAATCGTGGGCATTCTTTCTGGTATAGTTACTCATGGTATCTAGTTGCAGTATGCAAATTTTGAGCATTTTTGGTCAAGGACTTTTTGAGTTATTCACGAAAAGCTTTGTGGACCAACTAACTGACCGACCGACAGAGTGACCTATAGAGCTGCTGGTCGCTGCTTAAAGGAAAAAGAAAAAAAAGTATTTTCTGTATTTGAAAATACAAAATACATGTATTTTATTTTGATACATTTTCTGGCACCAGTATTTTGTATTTTATTTTGATACATTTATTTAAGGGGTATTTTGTATTTTGTATCAAAATACATTTTGATGTATTTTTGCCCATCTCTGGGCGCAGGGACCCAAAATGTCCAATGCCTGACCTTCACCTGCAAAATGTCACCAACAGTAACATGTAGCAACCAGGAAGAAAATCAAAATCACCACAAAGAAATGCAAATAAAGTGCAAAGAAACACAAAGTAACTACAAAATTGGCAAAACAACCACAAAAGGACACAAATTAATGACGTACAAACGTACCATGAAGAAAAACAAACCACAGTATGATGTATAATGATTATAAAAAGATGCAAAATTAAAATAAACTCTGTGGTGTCAGAGCAGCCAGTTAAGAGCTTGGGACAGTGGTACAATGAAAGCCTTACAGACTCAGACCAGTGCAACCAGTTGAGGGAGGAAACCATCAAAGGTCTTACCACCATAGGTAAGACCTCGCTTCCTGGTAAGCTGAAACTCTGGTGTCTGCAGTTTGGACTGC